ATTTGAAAGTGAAAGTAAAATGCACACAGCGCTTTTACAAGCTATTTGAAAGCGAAGCGAGGAAACGAGGGAAGACTCAAACGAACTAACATCTCCCCAATGGTGATACCGGTATTATTGGTGTTACACGTCGATTAACCAGTGGGAAAATTTCCTCACCGTCACAACCCTAGTGCCACTGCCATCAAATGTTAGTCTGGAGCCCTGTATTACATGATATGTTAAAGTAATTAATCATTATTCATTGTGATCCAGGGGCCCGGCCCCAGATTAAGAACGCTACCTTGCTTTTTTTCCAGTCCAGGAATCGTGTGGTATGGTAATCCAGACAAATGACTGTGTGAGTCAGTGCATGATAAACTGCTGGTGTCACGGCACACACATATCAGCAGTGCCGATTCTCGGCTCTTTCCCCTGCTTTGTTTTCCTCTCAGTAGGATCATCATTTTCTGGTTACAAACATTCAGGAAGACAGATATGGCAATCACACGCACATACAACAACAATCATCCTGCTGTTGACAGCGAACCGTTTCTGTCAGGGCAAACCTGGACAATATTGCGATTTGTTTATGACTACTAATGCTGCAAGACTTCCAGTTGGTGCTTGTTAAAGTGAAAGTGTATCAGTTTTGGCAGAATCTCAGTAGCAGTTTTTCTCGTGTGTCTTTGCTGCACAATAATAGCATCATTAGCATGTTTCAGTGCACAGTCCTTCATAAAGGAAGGGAGTGATCGTGCATCTCACGCTGGAGTGTTTGGACAGCTTGATCCGTGACTCATCGGTCTGAATGTGTGAAGCTGCCTGTCCCGCACCGAACAAACAGTCAGAAAACACACTTCAGCATCTGTGTCAAGGACACACTGTCAGACCTTACTCTTCCAGGAGAAACTGAACACGGCCGTTTGACACTTTACTTGAGGACCGCTGTGTCACCTGAATATTTCATGAAAAGAAAAACAGGTGCACACACTGACAGACACACACACACACACACACACACACACACACACACACTGATAGACAGACACACAAACACACTCACACTGACAGACCGATAGACACACACACACACACACACACTCACACTGACAGACAGATAGACACACACACACACACTCACACTGACAGACAGATAGACACACACACACACACTCACACTGACAGACAGATAGACACACACACACACACTCACACTGACAGACAGATAGACACACACACACACACTCACACTGACAGACAGATAGACACACACACACACACTCACACTGACAGACAGATAGACACACACACACACACTCACACTGACAGACAGATAGACACACACACACACACTCACACTGACAGACAGATAGACACACACACACACACTCACACTGACAGACAGATAGACACACACACACACACTCACACTGACAGACAGATAGACACACACACACACACTCACACTGACAGACAGATAGACACACACACACACACTCACACTGACAGACAGATAGACACACACACACACACTCACACTGACAGACAGATAGACACACACACACACACTCACACTGACAGACAGATAGACACACACACACACACTCACACTGACAGACAGATAGACACACACACACACACTCACACTGACAGACAGATAGACACACACACACACACTCACACTGACAGACAGATAGACACACACACACACACTCACACTGACAGACAGATAGACACACACACACACACTCACACTGACAGACAGATAGACACACACACACACACTCACACTGACAGACAGATAGACACACACACACACACTCACACTGACAGACAGATAGACACACACACACACACTCACACTGACAGACAGATAGACACACACACACACACTCACACTGACAGACAGATAGACACACACACACACACTCACACTGACAGACAGATAGACACACACACACACACTCACACTGACAGACAGATAGACACACACACACACACTCACACTGACAGACAGATAGACACACACACACACACTCACACTGACAGACAGATAGACACACACACACACACTCACACTGACAGACAGATAGACACACACACACACACTCACACTGACAGACAGATAGACACACACACACACACTCACACTGACAGACAGATAGACACACACACACACACTCACACTGACAGACAGATAGACACACACACACACACTCACACTGACAGACAGATAGACACACACACACACACTCACACTGACAGACAGATAGACACACACACACACACTCACACTGACAGACAGATAGACACACACACACACACTCACACTGACAGACAGATAGACACACACACACACACTCACACTGACAGACAGATAGACACACACACACACACTCACACTGACAGACAGATAGACACACACACACACACTCACACTGACAGACAGATAGACACACACACACACACTCACACTGACAGACAGATAGACACACACACACACACTCACACTGACAGACAGATAGACACACACACACACACTCACACTGACAGACAGATAGACACACACACACACACTCACACTGACAGACAGATAGACACACACACACACACTCACACTGACAGACAGATAGACACACACACACACACTCACACTGACAGACAGATAGACACACACACACACACTCACACTGACAGACAGATAGACACACACACACACACTCACACTGACAGACAGATAGACACACACACACACACTCACACTGACAGACAGATAGACACACACACACACACTCACACTGACAGACAGATAGACACACACACACACACTCACACTGACAGACAGATAGACACACACACACACACTCACACTGACAGACAGATAGACACACACACACACACTCACACTGACAGACAGATAGACACACACACACACACTCACACTGACAGACAGATAGACACACACACACACACTCACACTGACAGACAGATAGACACACACACACACACTCACACTGACAGACAGATAGACACACACACACACACTCACACTGACAGACAGATAGACACACACACACACACTCACACTGACAGACAGATAGACACACACACACACACTCACACTGACAGACAGATAGACACACACACACACACTCACACTGACAGACAGATAGACACACACACACACACTCACACTGACAGACAGATAGACACACACACACACACTCACACTGACAGACAGATAGACACACACACACACACTCACACTGACAGACAGATAGACACACACACACACACTCACACTGACAGACAGATAGACACACACACACACACTCACACTGACAGACAGATAGACACACACACACACACTCACACTGACAGACAGATAGACACACACACACACACTCACACTGACAGACAGATAGACACACACACACACACTCACACTGACAGACAGATAGACACACACACACACACTCACACTGACAGACAGATAGACACACACACACACACTCACACTGACAGACAGATAGACACACACACACACACTCACACTGACAGACAGATAGACACACACACACACACTCACACTGACAGACAGATAGACACACACACACACACTCACACTGACAGACAGATAGACACACACACACACACTCACACTGACAGACAGATAGACACACACACACACACTCACACTGACAGACAGATAGACACACACACACACACTCACACTGACAGACAGATAGAATATGCAAGTACAATAAATTTGATGTCAGAGGTCTACATGATATGCATGGCATAAAGGCAAAAACTGCATTCAAGTATCAAAAGGTCCAAGTTTCAGTTCCTTTTTATCATGCATGGGTTCCGTTTATCTGCACTGATCATCTCCGAGTGTGAACAAACCAGCGGCTCATTCTAGCAGAACATCTCACACTCATGATTAACAGCCCCCGTTACTGAGCAAGACCAAACACATTCCTGCAGTGTGGCTGTTGGTTGGCTGTCTCCCAGGGAATGAGTGGAAATTTCAGTTAGTGAGGATTTCATGTCCATGGAATTTTGTCATGTGACCCTGTAGAGGAATCCTATTGGCTAGAGTCAAATCAGGCTTCCTGTATTCAACCAGAGCCACACGTTATGGGCACAGCCCTGACAGCTATTGTTTTTTCCTTATTCAAAAACATTTTATATTGAAATGGCTGATATTTAGATGTAGCAAGATATTCAATTCAGATATCTTAAGGATTGAATGCACTGTGCTTATTCAGAGCCTACTTTGCATTTTGACACAAAAACCTTTAAAAAAACGTTAACATCGGCTCATTGAATACAGAAACAACCATAACGTACTCAAACAATAGACAAAACACAATCCAAGAGATGTTAACTTAAGTGATTTAAAGTCAAACACGTATAACAGAATATTTTTTAAAAAGGCGAATATGACTGGCCTCAAAACATCAGCATGACACATTTTCAGCATCAGTTTGTTTAAATTATATTGCAAGTAAAAGTAACGTTAGCTTTATTATATGCTAGCTTATGATCAAGTAGACAAGCATTAGCTTTACTCAAACGTTACATTATAAATAAAAACGGCAAAACGACACGTTATAAGCTAATAAGTAGCTTAATAGGTCAATAAAACGATAAGTTAATAAGTAAAGACGTTAGACAGCACTTTAATGCTATCTAAACGGCTCGATCCAGAAGTCTGATGTCAGAATAGATCTGTGCGTTGCTGTACATCTGGCAGTGTGAGTGCAACAGACCTGCCACGTAATGCGTTTCTCTGATTTTCATTTTATTAGTCTTTTTTTTATGCAGCGTTTACTAAATTGAACAATGTTTGAAAGCTATATGCTAATGTTTTAATGTATTATTTACTAACTATTAACTAATTTCATTTATTTAATATTTTATTTTAAAAAATAATAAAAAGCTATGTTACCGTGGGATGTTACAGGAATCGTCCCTCTGCCGGACTAATGCGGACTGTGTGTGTGTTTCAGGAAAGCGCAGGAGCAGAATAAGAAGGTGGTGGTGGCGGGATGTGTGCCGCAGGCCCAGCCCAGGACAGAATACCTCAGAGAGCTGAGCATCATCGGGGTGAGCGTCCCACACACACACACCAGCGCTCACTTTCACTGATGCATTCAAACACTGCTGGTGCTCACTCTTTACTCTCCGTCTGTTCTGTGTGCTGAACTAAAAGAGCTGTTTTCAGCTCATATTTGCATTAGTTACAGCTGGAATCCGGCGACGAGTCGGAGTCACACGTGTGGTCGATGATTGTTTGGTCTTACCGTTGGAAAAATCACCTTATGCAAATGAGCAGGTGTTTTGCATACCGTGCTCAGGATGTGAGTGTGGAGACCTGATCAGTTCTGTGTTCTAGAGAAGGGAGCTCTGCAGCGTTTGGCCGGTAATTCAGCAGCTGTTAGCGCTGAGCAGGAACAGACCTGTTTTTTTAATTTAATTACTTTATTTATGGTGTGCTGTTCGACATAGCATGTGGGATTACCAACGCATTCATGTTTATGAAGGAGACGATTCAATAATGAATGGACTGAGCCTAACCGGTCCTGCTTTAATAAAACATGGCTGTGCAAATAAACAAACCTGTATTATTTATGGTTTAAAGAGAGTCGAGAAGCGTGTCAACTGCATTTGAGATGTGTGTGTGTGGAGAGGTGTACTGCTGTCTCTCAGTAATGCGCATGTCGCTGAGTTTAGCTCAGATCTCCGTCTCAGACAAACGCTCTAAACTCCATCCATCCGCCCGATGCTTCATATCTGTAGAGTATGCTGAACGGCTCCGGGGCTTCAGTCAGCATTAACACGGGGAAAAACAGAGGAGACGACTAAACAACCAAGAGTTCAGTTTAACATTGAGCAACACTTCTACAGCATTTCTGAATCTATGCTAATGTTCATTTTCATTTGTGTAAATAAACATTAATGTTTTGTAATGTGTGTATATAGCGTATGAATGAACATGAATTAAAAATGAACAATAGTATATTTGTATATTAACATTGACGACATTTACATGCACACAAATAATGCGATTATTTCCAATAATCAGAGTGACTTAATCGCATTATGATGTTTACATGCAATTTGCATAATTTTATTATTGGCTAAGAATTGTGGTTGTTTTTTGCCGCCATTATTCACATGCGCCACTGCTCAGCACAAGTGATGGACTCAGCAAGAGTAGATGTGTGATACATGGCCGCTGTTTTCATTGCTTTACGTCGAAATGCGATGTCTTCTTCCCCGACATCATTTCTAATCTGCGTATTAGTGATGTGTGGTTCACGAACGAATCGTTCTATTTAAGCGGTTCTTCCCAGTGAACCGGGCGAACCAGTTCACCAAATCAGACTGAATCGTTTGAAACCGTTCGTGTCTTCAGTAAGCACTAGACCCGAGTTATTCAGTTTCTCCAACAGTACACTGACTAAACTGCCGTGAGAAGAGAAGTGCTGATGAACACGAGCGGAGCAGCTGTAGTACCGCAGGTGCGTGTCACGTCATTCACCAACATCACGAGCACAGGCACACTTCGGTCAGAGCAGCAATAATGGGATTAAAGTCCTATAAAGTACATGTATTTTTTCTTACATGTAGTTTTAGGTCACGCATGATCATATTTCTGTGAAGGACTCAATAGAGACACATTCGTCGTTCCTTCATATTTCTGATGACTGATATTACACTGCATTATTATCCTCCTTTTTTGGTTAGACTCTAACTAATCTTTGAGTTTACATGAATCATTTAGTTTCATTTTTTTTCAGTTGCATTTTAATTTTATTTAAAGAGAAAGCTATTCTGATTTCCTTGCGGTATTGTGTAGGCAGCTGTGCGGTGAATATATTACCTCATGGAAGCACTGGTTTGGACTAACACCAGTGAAACCAGAACCGGCCTGAGTGAGGATACTGTACTGGTGTGAATATTGTGATGTCCTGGCATATATCAAGAATAAAACCAGGCGATTCTCAGCCCTACTAATTCATTAATGTTAACAAGTCGTAGCTTAAGAGCAGTGGTGCAGAACTGCCTGCAGAGTGTAGCTTCGACCCTAATCAAACACACCTGATCCAGCTGATCAAGTCCTTCAGGCCTATTTGAAAACCACGTGGTATGTGTGTATTGAGTTCTGCACCTGCCTTAAGGTGTTGCCAAGAATAAACATGTACATTAGGAATAAGGGAAAACAGTATTGCACTCAGTGTTGTTATACTTTGCATTTACAAAGTAGTGTTTTTCTCCCTAAGGTGAGTCTGTCAGCCTCTAAAACAGTGATCTCACTCAATTCCTGGAGGGCCACAGCTCTGCAGAGTTTAGCTCCAGCTCACACCTGCTTGGAAGTCTCTAGTAATCCTGAAGACCTTGATTATCTGGATCAGGTGTGTTTGATTAGGGTTGGAGCTAAACTGTGCAGAGCTGTGGCCCTCCAGGGATTGGGTTTGAGACCAGTGCTCTAAAACATCCCAGCGGTGCTGGTTAGTAATGTTAGTAATGGTGTTGGGTTGACTGGAGCTGTGGCCTGTCGTGGTTCCAGACAGAATCCATCAGCACCAGCGATGCTCCTCCTGCTCTGTTCACTGTTGAGACAAAGCAGATCAGACAGAGGCTTTGTGATGGAGCCCATCCATCTCTCAGTGCAGCAGGTCACCAGCAGGAGAACCATTGTGAGGGTCCAGATGGGCCTTCGCTCCAGATCCCTGCCGAACAGAACCGCGCCGTCTCAAAGACTTCTGTCAGGGGCTCAGGATAGTGCGTATGAGCCATGCAAACGGCTGTCTTTAACGTTACAGTGCTGCAGTCTCCACAGACACAAACACAGTTCCTCTGTGCGTGAGCGGATCGAAGGTCCGGAGGTCTCGCAGTGTTTGGTGAAGCTGCCTCAGCACATCTTTGTTTTGTCTAGACAACAGATTTCCACGTCGAATGCGGCTCGTCCCTCGTTGCTTTCAAGTAGTTTGCTTTAAAAACAATAGCTGTGGGGAATCACACATGAAATTTTGAAGTTCTTCGGTCCAAGGCTGGATTAAAAGCACGAAACTACAGCCAAAGGAAGGAACACGCCGGTAATGCTAAACAGACCGACCTCCTGCCGTTCCCGAACATCTCTGCCAGCACATGAAAGAGTCCACTCAATAAAATTACCTTTCTTCTGGCTCTTTGACGTGCTTCTGGAGAGCTGCATTGAGAGCCGGTCCCGCTGCGGATTCTCGGGCCGAGATTGAGCTCCCATTAGAGCAGAATTGATTTCTGTTCCAGTGTTTTTCACTCATGTAACTGCAGCTGGTGGAGGCCCGGGTCTGCGCTCCGTCTCTCGGCCCACAGTACAGCTGAATTAATGGCCCCGGCGGCCTCGGGTCGGCCATTTAACCGCAGGGTGCGCCACACAATGGACACGAATTCCCTTTAATACTGTAGATCTGCTCCTGCAATCTCACCGCCTCCATGCAGAAATGAGCTCAGCGGAGGAAAGATCTGCACCTCCAGCCGACTCTCACCATTACAGGCCTCTTTATTCTCACTCCATTTGCCATTCTGTCTTTCTTTTTCTTGAGTGCCTCCTTTTTCTCTCTGCGATAGTTTAGACTGGAACAGTGAAGCAGTGCAGTGTTGACGGGTGTAAAACTGTGGAAATGTGCAAGAATAAGGTTCTGAGGAATCAGCTGACTCTGGATCTCGTCCTGTCTGTCTATTAACTACATATTACATCTCTTTAGTTAAGTTAGCGTATAGATGTCATGATATTCAGCTACAGAAAACGAGCATCTACACTACCAGAGAACATCACTGATTAGGGGATAAGTGCACCAGTTCCACCATGACTGGTCACAAGTCACTCTTACCTGTGTTGGCATAGTAATGCAACTAATAGTAGAAAAAGTAGAGACAATCTGGCTATAGCACATATAAATACATCTTTTTACAAACAAAGTTAATCCAGAACTAATATGCAATATAGAAACTGGCATTCCTTTCACTCCAACAAAAAATAATTTAAATAAAACAAAATCCAAAGCTGCTGTATCCACCTAAATGTGAGTATAAAGCTAGTTTTCTATAATGCTTACAGTAGATCACACATGAGAGCTGCTCGTGCTGTGCACTTTAAAAAACACTCCCGTTATAATCAGTGAAGCTGTCTACACTGTATGATGAATGAATCTTTTATTTACATCGCACATGCCTCTCCGCTTTGTTGTTTATGATGAGAGAAGCCGCGAGCGCACGCTCTGAACAACCAGACGCCTCTGTTTCAGCGATGACGCATCTGAACGCCTCTGATTGACCGCTGCATTCACGAACTCAGACGCCTAAAAATAAATATGATGGAACAAATGAGCCCTAATTTTAATTAGATAATAATACTAGCCTGATAATAGCAGTAGTAGTAATAATAATAATCGTCTTGATATCGTCAAAGGCATCAGCCACAGGCGATATCCCTGACTATTGTTGATACACGATACTATCGTCTGTCGGCACGACCCTAGAACAGCGTCAGTTTAGTTGAAGATTACAGGTGTTTTAACGGGTGTAGAGAATCACACGAACCATCAACAGCATCCATGAACCACAAACAAACACAACGCTGTCTTCATCTTCAGCACTGCATGTTGTTTTAGCATGTATGAAAAGTGTTTGTGCATTTTTTTTTTTGTACACATACATGGGACTTTGATATTTTGTGGTATTGCAATGATGCTTTACGTGAAATGATTCATGCAGTGGTGTGTTTATAGTGGTTGTAGGTTTATCTGTCTGCTGTATAGCATCACCGTCCTTCATCCTCATGTCTGAATAAATCCATTTCCATTGATGTAAGGTTTGTTAGGATCGGACAATATTTGGCTGAGATACAACTATTTGAAAATCTGGAATCTGAGGGTGCAAAAAAATCTAAATATTGAGAAAATCATCTTTAAAGTTGTCCAAATGAAGTTCTTAGCAATGCATATTACTAATCAAACATTAAGTTTTGATATATTTATGGTAGGAAACACACAAAATATCTTCATGGAACATGATCTTTACTTAATATCCTAATGATTTTTGACATAAAAGAGAAATGTATAATTGTGACCCATACAATGTATTGTTGGCTATTGCTACAAATATCCCCCAGCGACTTAACACTGCTTTTGTGCTGCAGGGACACAAATGTCCTAATGAGTTGTAGTGTGTGTTCCTCTTCCTCATATGGGTTCATCTGACCGCAGAACCACACGACTCCTGGAGTCTGAGGAGCGGATCTCACCGCTGTGTGTGGTTTGAGTCTCTGCACCATCATGACACCACAGTGTCCTCCTGCAGAGTCTGTGAGGAGCGGCTGAGTTAACATGAGTGACCTCTGAATGAAGTTCTCAGCGTCTCTCTGTGTCTCTGTAGGTCCAGCAGATCGATCGAGTGGTGGAGGTCGTGGACGAGGCTATCAAAGGTCAGACACACACACACACACGCACACACACTGACACTCCTGTCTTTTTGTGTACGTGTACTCATCTGTCTGAGTCTCTCTGTTTGACCTGCCGTGTGTTCTCTTCTGAGCTCATCATATGCATTTTATTGGACTTTTTTTTGGTGATGAACTAGTGTATGTGTGAATGATTGGCTGCAGATCCTCGAGTGTTCACGTCAGGTAATTAGTCACTATGAACTGTTATAACTGGCAGAGGAATCGACGATTCTGATTTTGTTCTGATTATTAATAGTTATATGGAGTATTTGGTGTCTTATATTGCTGTTGTCAGTTTTAAGAAGCGGTGTCCTCCAGTCGTTTGTGATGTTGTCCTCTAAACGTGGTCGGATCTCTTGAACTCATCTGTTTGCATTTGTTGATTTAGCACATGCTCAGAACGATCTGAGGTTCAGGCTCATTGTGGCTGCTCAGTGCTGTGTTGGGTAATGGTCCACTGCTAACTAAAACTACAGTACTTGCATTTTTGCCCAGTAATGTGACAGTTGTTTATCTGGTTTAAAATACCAGATATCAGCATGACAAAAGATTATTTATTATATTATATATATATATATATATATATATATATATATATATATTATGTATTAATTTGTTTGTTGATTTAATTGCATACAAGTTTAGCAGCTTTGAAGGCCCTTTAAGTTGATTGTGTCTGGTCCTGCAGCGTTAGTATCTACAGACCATCAGATCACAGAGTCGTGAGGATGCAGGACTCTTTTTACACCTAGCAACCACACAGAACACCCTAGCAACCAGACCCTAGCAGACAGAGCCCATCCCTTGTCTCATTCCTTAAAGTTTTCTCCCAAATCGACTGACTTTTTTTTCTGAAATGGCCAAACATTTTGCGCTGCGGGGGAAACGAGACTGAATGAGCAGCTTGTGTGAAATGTGCTGTGCTGTAGCTATAGCCCCACATGACATGCTGGAAAATAGGCAGGCCTATATAAAAAAATAAAATGATAAGAATTCGTTCCTACAACTTCTTAATTGATTTAATTATTAGACTGCCTTTTTCCAAACTCCTGCTCTTAGTGATCATGTATAAAGATGAAGACTGAATGTTCAGATGTGTCTGTCTCACACAGACTGAGAAAGCATGGCTCTGACTGTAAGTGTGTGATCAGGCCTGCAGCTGTAGATGTGCTGGAGGTCAGTTATGACTCCGATAGCCATAGATCTGTGGATTATGGTCCAGATGTTACCAGAGCCGCCGCTGAAGGCTTCAGAACAAACCTGCGGGTCTGAGTCTGTGTGTGACCTTCAGCATGAAGTCTGAGACGCTGTGGTTATTTACGTGTACTGTAGATACCAACTTATGAGAGATAATACTGTATTGATAGTAACAGTGCTCCAGTTATGGTTTGTGTCGGTGTTTGTAAGTAAGTGAGTGAGTGTGTGTGTGTGTGTGTGTGTGTGTGTGTGTGTGTGTGTGTGTGCATGTGTGTGTTATTTTTATGTTAAAGTACAGACTGAAATCAACATTTCACCTATTTACTTTAATACACATTCCAAATTTGATCAGTTCATTAGTGCACATTATTACGGAGATGATCAATAGCTTGTCTTTTTTGATCTTTCTCTTCTGTAACATGACGATGAAGAAACACTAAAGCATGAAACTAACACTGCATCATGGGAGAGACAAAACATCTAACAAAAGTGTCGATTGTGCGCTCAAAGAATAAGGCTCGTTTTGGCAGGTTACTTTAGTGCAGCATTTCATGAGCGAGTTCACTCACTCACACTCACTCACTCACACACTCACACACTCACTCACTCACTCACTCACACACACTCACTCACTCACTCACTCACTCACTCACTCACTCACTCACTCACTCACTCACTCACTCACTCACTCACTCACTCACTCACACACGCTCACACGCTCGCCCTCACTCACTCACTCACTCACTCACTCACTCACTCACTCACTCACTCACACACGCTCGCCCTCACTCACTCACTCACTCACTCACTCACTCACTCACTCACTCACTCACGCACACACACACACTCACACAGCTCTTTGTTTCTTTGAACAGCTGCAGCAGACCGCTGCTCAACACTGAAGGTAAAACAAGAGACTTTTAAATAACCTTGTTAGCAGGAGTTTGGAGTTGCCTGTTTCTCTTGCTCTCTGTTCATCTGATCAGAGGTGTGGAGGTGAAGTTCTCCCGCTGTGAGCGTCAGGAGGAGACCGGAGGCTGACTGCTTCCTCTGCCTGTCCACTTGATCAAACTACAGCCGCATGAAAGAGGAAGAAGCATCTCGCCCCCCACAGCGACAGAGAAATACAGCAGCATGATGTTCAGGAGGAGCTGATCCACATCAGTACCTTCAACACCTATTAGCTATGAAGGGAAGCTCTTCAATGTTCACTGTGTTTCACACATTTAAAGGAATAGTCCACCCAAAAATGAACATTTTGATGGAAAATTAGTTTGTTTCTTCATCAGGTTTGTAGAAATGTAGCACTGCATCAGTGTCTCAGCAATGGATGCTCTGCAGTGAATGGGTGCCGTCAGAATGAGAGTCCAAACAGCTGATAAAAACATCACAATAATCCACAGCACTCCAGTCCATCAGTTCACATCTGGTGAAGACAAAAGCTGAATCTAATCCAGCATTAAGACGTTTTTTTAACTCAAATACGAGTCCATAATCCATAATAACACTTCCTCCAGTGAACAAGTGCATCTGCTGTTGTCTCTCACATCAGAATCCAGCCACATATTAGTTTAGAGCTGTTTAAACGCTGCTTGATCTGTGCAGATCTCTCTCCTGATTCACACCAGAACACTGTGCTGATCAAATCCGAGCGCGCCGCCCACTCTTCACACATGTTCTTCAGTCGAGCCCAGTGTAAAACATCAGATCTGTTGTGTCACAGCAGTTTGATTGATGCCATGTGCTGCCTTATGTTCCTCGAATGTATCTGAATCACTAAATAAAGCATGAGAAGATCCTCACAGTCTTCTGCTTCATGACTGAGCTGAATGAGCTTTACTAGGATCATTCAAGCGATCTAATATTTCTGTTTAGTTCTAGAGAATCGTGTTGAATGAGTGATGACATCGGGTCTTGGTTTAATGACAGAGGGTCGTTGTTTTGTTCTGGATGTAACTGGGCGATCGGTTGGGTTGCTGTGCGATGTCGTCTCTCTTTGTCCCGCTCTGTTTCCCAGAGGATCGAGACACTGGAGACTCTCAGAGCCGTGGATCAGGAAATCACATCACACCTCTGGCCTCGGATCTTTTCTTTCAGTTATTTGCATGTAGATGGTTGTATGAATGATTTAGCAGATTTGATTACATGTGTGTCTGGATACAGAAATCAAGTGATGCAATTAAATGGAGGCTGAGGTGTGTGTGGAGTCATGTGAACCTGTTATCAGAAGAAAAAAAGAGAAAGTGAGGGACGTTTGCTCTGTTCTGTTCACTGCTATAGCGGAGCGAGTCGTGCACAGTGATTGAGGTTTGAAAGAGTTTCTCTCACGAAGCGTCACTTGACTTCAGAAGACCTGGAATATAGTAGCACACGTGTCACGCGGAGAAGAGCGTCTCTGACTGTCTTGTGTTCTGTGGAAGAAGAAGTCAAAGAGGTTTAGTGAGTTTACGATCATACTGTGTTGTGTGTGTGTTAAATGATATTCAGATCTAATGACTTTCCACATTCTTGGATAAATACAGTGCATGATTTGTGTGTGTTTGCAGAAAGTCACTTCAGATAACAAGTAAATGCACTGGATGTGTCGAGGCCTTTCAGAGTCACTAATAACCCCCAGTCGATGCAGTTCCCACAATTCTTCTGTGCAGAGACACACATCACGCTCAAGATGTTTGTCACAGACCCTGTTATTCCTTTATTTAGGATAGTTTATTTCAAATCATGATCAGAGTAACTGTGTATTGTGTGTGTGGATCAGGTTGCTTCAGTGTGAGTGTGTCAGTCCTCAGAGAGCTCCGTCTCTCCTCATTGCTACTGCTGCATCTCTTGGAATCTGAATTCATTTCCATGTTGTTGTAATGTGAGGTGTGTGTGTGTGTGAACATCTGCAGGGTTCAGCTCAGGGCTTCTCATTGTTCTGTTGCTCTAAACTCTGAAAGATGGGGATGTATTCATGGCCACATCTCAATATCTGCGCAGTCCGTCTCAGTCGACATGTGGCAGATGCTCACGGCTGAATAGTCTCTATTCAGTTCTATTCTGCTGTCTCTCTCTCTCTCTCTCTCTCTCTCTCTCTCTCTCTCTCTTGCTTTATCTCTCAGTTCATTCACAGCATGATTAAAGTTTCCCGTGGATGTGATTTTCAAACCCAGGTAGTTGTAGTGTGATGTGTGTGTTATCTGCTGAGTGCCTAATGTAAATGTGTGTGGTGTTCCCTGGGATCTGGATCTTTTCTGAAAGATCATAATTCTGGTTTTCTTCAGGTTGACTGTCAGAGCCCAGGTCTGGCAGTATTGCTGTAGCAGGTCCAGGTTCTGCTGTAAAGCGTGTTGAGTGGGAGACAGCAGAAGCAGGTCGTCTGCATACAGCAGGCATCTGATCTGTGAGGTGTGTAGGGTGAGGCCAGGGGCTGCAGATCGCTCCAGACTGCTCTCTCTCTCTCTCTCTCTCTCTCTCTTTCTCGTGGCCTGAAGCTAATGTGTGGTTATGTTGGAATGGAACACAATCTTTTATCCCGTCTTCTCTTGGGCATCAGTCTGTATTGATGTCCAGCGGTGTGATGATTTTGTTCCTCGTGTGATGAGCGTGTGTGTGTGTGTTGCAGGTCACTCCGTGCGTCTGCTGGGTCAGAAGAAGGAGAAAGGCAAGCGTCTGGGAGGAGCGCGGCTGGATCTGCCCAAGATCAGGAAGAACCCGCTGATTGAAATCATTTCCATCAATACAGGGTAAGATGTGAATGAACAGACACACTCATGAAAGATTCAGAGTCACTGGAGGATTCAGTTTCCAGCTGAACGCTCACATTGATGTCGTGTGACGTGACTGTCATCATCCAGACTTTCTCTGAGTGAGTGAGTGAGTGAGTGAGTGAGTGAGTGAGTGTGTGTGTGTGGTTCAGGTATATCTTACGTTATGGGGACAAATTTCCCCACAAAGAATGCAATATTCAAAATCCTTGTCCTTGTGGAGACATGTTTTGGTCTCCATGAGGAAACAAGCTAATAAATCACACAGAATTAAGTTTTTTGAGAATGTAAAAATGCCTGTAGTTTTGTGTGAGGGTTAGGGTAAGAGGATAGAAAATACATACCGTACAGTAGAAAAACCATTGCACCTATGGAATGAACCCATAAAACACAATGTGTGTGTGTGTGTGCGTGCAGTCCACATCTCTGGTTAAGTGTGAGTTTGTGATGAATGTGTTGCTGTATGAATCTGCTGGAAATGATTCTAAACAGCTGATAGGAAACACACATGACATGATTACTGAAATACTATCAGAGAAAATGATTCTCAGCAAGGTCAGTATACAGTAATCGTCAGCTGTGACTCCACTGCAGTTCAAGCACCATCCTGACACCTCTGACACACTCCTCACAGCAGGAGTCTGATCCTGATCCTGTTCATTCATACCGCAGACCTGAGTCCGTGTCCTCGTTATGATTGCCCATCAGCGTCTCGATGTGTGTCTGAGGATCTCCAGCGTCTGCAGGACTCCAGAGGTCGCCCTGTAATCTGCCTGTTTGCTCGACAGCGTTCAACAAATTCCCCAGCATGCCGGTGGCTTAATTAGAAGCTCGTCTCTCAGAGCCACTTAGAATCAAATGAGATGCAAATGGAAACACCTCGAGACGCGGAGGAGAGTCTTCACGGGAGGAGAACATGCCTATTTTGGGACTTTCTACCATGTTTTCCTGCCCAGTGAAGTTTGTATTCGTGAGGATTTTGTCCTGAGGATTTTCTAATCAGAAGTGCTTTTTGAGCAAAGTCTAGCTTCTAGTCGTGAGCAGTTGACCAGTTGACCTTTTTAACAACTTCCGGTGGCGCTGCACTGCTGGCGACACGGACACTTGTTGCTGCTGACATTCTTAACTCTTTGAACCATTTTAACTTTAAACTCTTAAGCTGATATATCGGACTGATTGACTGGCTAATTTTAGCAGTGAAACACCACAATGATGACACTCATACAGCTCTCCATTGGATTGTTAATTATCGCGCACCTGGTGTCAGTGCTATTCGCACACATTGGCGAGCAGCGACCCAATTATGGCATATACAAGAGAGGATTTGCTTCAGCTCCGTTCGTCCGACTACGATATACCAGCAGACCGTCCAGACTGTTTGAGAGCTTGGACGGTGGTGAGCAGAGGCCGGCAGAAAAGAGGGCACAGAGGTGGCGTCAGGCGGTGTTTTCGACGATGTGGAAGCAGACCTCCATTACCTGCAATTGTGTTTGCTGCAGTAATTGAGACGTGGATCTGGTGTGGCTCTGGAAGGTCAGGTGTGAGTGAGTCATGTTGTTGTGGGAGCTGTCGAGTCGGTTTAGTTGAGCTGTGCGTCTCTGATTCAGGGCTATCGTGATGTCTGTCTGTTCCTGCGCTCATCTCAACACAAACAGCAGCACAGAAAGAGCTGATGAGACACGTGTGAGATCTTTAATAACCTGAAGCTCTCTGGGGGGCGGTAGTGCACTCACTAGGGCTCTCCTATTAATGTCCTTAAGATAAGAGCGTTGCTTTTGATTGTGTGTGTCTATGATTGTTTCATGCTCCGTTTGCTAATGCTAACAGGTTAAAGGAGGTGTTCAGATGCTTGAATGCAGTCAACTCATGCTTGATCTGCCCTACAGGAGCGTCAGCTGTATGTCAGGAGCGCTCGTGAAGATACACAGCGACACTGAACGACATCCGGATCAACACTCGAGTGTTAGTTCTGCGAGAGAGCCGTCAGCGGCTCAGAGAATGTGTGTGTGAGAGAGTGTGCGTGTGTGAGAGAGTGTGAGTGTGTGTGTGTGAGAGTGAGTGAGTGGGTGTGTGAGAGTGAGTGTGTGTGTGTGAGAGTGAGTGAGTGGGTGTGTGAGAGTGAGTGTGTGTGTGTGAGAGTGAGTGAGTGGGTGTGTGAGAGTGAGTGTGTGTGTGTGAGAGTGAGTGAGTGGGTGTGTGAGAGTGAGTGTGTGTGTGTGAGAGTGAGTGAGTGGGTGTGTGAGAGTGAGTGTGTGTGTGTGAGAGTGAGTGAGTGGGTGTGTGAGAGTGAGTGTGTGTGTGTGAGAGTGAGTGAGTGGGTGTGTGAGAGTGAGTGTGTGTGTGTGAGAGTGAGTGAGTGGGTGTGTGAGAGTGAGTGTGTGTGTGTGAGAGTGAGTGAGTGGGTGTGTGAGAGTGAGTGTGTGTGTGTGAGAGTGAGTGAGTGGGTGTGTGAGAGTGAGTGTGTGTGTGTGAGAGTGAGTGAGTGGGTGTGTGAGAGTGAGTGTGTGTGTGTGAGAGTGAGTGAGTGGGTGTGTGAGAGTGAGTGTGTGTGTGTGAGAGTGAGTGAGTGGGTGTGTGAGAGTGAGTGTGTGTGTGTGAGAGTGAGTGAGTGGGTGTGTGAGAGTGAGTGTGTGTGAGAGAGAGGGTGTGTGTGTGTGAGAGAGAGTGTGTGGGTGTGTGAGAGGGTGAGTGGGTGTGTGAGAGGGTGAGTGGGTGTGTGAGAGTGAGTGTGTGTGTGAGAGTGAGTGTGTGTGCGAGAGTGTGTGTGTGTGTGCGTGAGTGTGTGTGTGTGTGAGTGAGTGGGTGTGTGTGTGTGAGAGAGTGTGTGTGTGTGTGTGAGAGAGAGTGTGTGTGTGTGTGTGAGAGAGAGTGTGTGTGTGTGTGTGAGAGAGAGTGTGTGTGTGTGTGTGAGAGAGAGTGTGTGTGTGTGTGTGAGAGAGAGTGTGTGTGTGTGTGTGAGAGAGAGTGTGTGTGTGTGTGTGAGAGAGAGTGTGTGTGTGTGTGTGAGAGAGAGTGTGTGTGTGTGTGTGAGAGAGAGTGTGTGTGTGTGTGTGAGAGAGAGTGTGTGTGTGTGTGTGAGAGAGAGTGTGTGTGTGTGTGTGAGAGAGAGTGTGTGTGTGTGTGTGAGAGAGAGTGTGTGTGTGTGTGTGAGAGAGAGTGTGTGTGTGTGTGTGAGAGAGAGTGTGTGTGTGTGTGTGAGAGAGAGTGTGTGTGTGTGTGTGAGAGAGAGTGTGTGTGTGTGTGTGAGAGAGAGTGTGTGTGTGTGTGTGAGAGAGAGTGTGTGTGTGTGTGTGAGAGAGAGTGTGTGTGTGTGTGTGAGAGAGAGTGTGTGTGTGTGTGAGAGAGAGAGAGTGTGTGTGTGTGTGTGAGAGAGGGTGAGTGGGTGTGTGTGTGTGTGCGAGAGTGTGTGTGTGTGTGAGATATCCTGGTGTTCCTGTGTCACACACACACAATGGGGTAATGTCCTCATAAGTCACAATACCTATGCTATATCCATGACACGCACGCACACACACACACACACACAAGCACCATCAGCTGTGAACTAGTTACTCAACATTTGCAGTCAAGCTGCTCTTGAGAAACTATGCTACCTATTGCTAACAATCATTTCAAATATGTAATATGTATTTAAATATGCTGTTTATCTGGCAAAAAACAAACATACAAACAGAAGGATAACGCATAACTGATACACTGATAATAAATGCAGCCAAAACGATAGAAAATTCCGGTTTAAACATGATTTTCCATTTAGCTTCTGAAGTCATTCTTCTCTGTTTATATGAAGGCGTTTAGAGGGAAGTGTGCTGATCAGTGGAGTCTGGAGTGTTTCTGTCGTATATTCACACGAGGCGTTCAGTCACTGGCTGGAAATGATTCAGAGCCGTTAGCTGAAGGTAAACTGGCAGACCGCTCTTAAAATAAAGCGTGTGTTTGCATACGGCTGTAGTTACAGGTCAGATCTCTGATTTCATTTACATTCATATGTGACGTTATCATCTCCTCATTGTCAGTCTGTTTTTATTCGACTCCGGAGCCACTTTTAATTTGCTTTCGGGCCCCTCTGACATCAGGCCTGACATTTGGAGGCTGTGCAGATAGAGAGCTCTTTGTGAGGTTTCTCTCTCGACTGGACGTCCCATCCGTCATCCAGCCTCTTATCGGGTGTTAGGCTCAGATCCTCATGCTACGCTCCCCTCCAGATCTGACACACGTTTACTCTGCCCCGGTACGAGTTGTGTAGAGCTATTCATTAGTCTGTTTGTTTGATGAAAAAAGATTAAATGTAGTTGCATTAAATGCGTTAAGAATCCATACACCTGCAGCAGCGGAGGACTATTATTCTGCTGCATGATACTGCGGAAGAACTGATGACGGCACGGTTTGATCTTCGGCTGACCAATCAGCAGAAAGAGGCGTTTAATTCCCGCCCACATGTAGAAATCCAATATTCAAGCTTTTTAATTTTTTACCCCTGAACGAAAAATTTAAATTTAAGCTGAATTCAGATTCCAAGAGATCTGATCTGAACAAAAAAGGAGCCTTTTTTTTTTCTACTTTCAATATTATGCTTCAGCAGATGGACACTGTACCGTGAGTTTTGTCTTCAGCACAGTTTGCTAAGGATTATGGGAAGATGGAGTAGAAGAGCGCAGGGGACGCATCTAAAGTTTTTATCTTCACATGGATTCTTGCAAACGCTGCTCATGCCGTTAGATGCTGAGAAAGAGTGAGACGACGGTTGCAGACATGATCTTGACAAAGTCTGGTGTTACAGAGAGAGTCACTCGTCTGCAGCTCTTTCTGGCTCGTCCGGCTCTGATCAGAGAGACGTGTCATGTGAAGAATATTAGCTTATGGCTTTGGCTAGTTTAGCGAGTTCCCATTGGCTGCGCTCCAGTCCGGAGCAGCTGTGTCGTCAGTGATTCCTCACCGCTGCTGGAGCACGTTATGGAAGAGAGACAAAACGAAACACC